CCCTCCCACAATAGAGTACATCGTACTCTTCTGCGATAAACCACGGATTACGTACTCAGCTAATGAAGCGGGCCACAACGGACGAATTTACTTGTCCAAGGGCTGGCAAAGCCAGGTCATTAGAGCTGAAGGGGGCTGGGGGATCACAACATCTTTAAAGGAAGTAGACGTTTTACCCATATGAGATGTGGGTGATTTCTAGAGATTAATATACATCCGTGGATACGTAAAACATTCGGATAGCGATCTGCAGAACCATTCGTATCTGGGCGCTAACATAGTTTTTGTTCCACTGCATTGGCTGCTTTTCGAAAAACACGATTGATGGTGTTTATGTTTGCGTAGTGCGTAGCATACTTGAGCAAAGACCTATTAATCAAAAAGGCGAGTAATAATGCGTGTGCACTTTAGGGAAGTCACAAAAAAACTTAATCTCAGAGTCATAAAAAATAATCACAGCATATCCACGGGGTGAATATTAATGAGTGGGGCGAAGCGCACGGACCCATGTATCCGTCGGGTGGATGGATGAATGGACGCACAGACGGCTGAACGTACGGACGCACGGTTCAACGAACGGGCCCACGGATGCTTCACCCGACTCATCATCATTCACTTCGAGGATATGCTGTGAGACCATATTTATTGGCATGCAATGCAACGCAACTGGCTACTACGACGACACGGGACGTACGACCCACGGCGTAAACTGCTTCGCCCCTAAAAAATGTGGGATGAAAACCGTCATCTGCGGCTATGAGTCGCGTGTTTCTGACCCCTGCTCTGAATCATCGAACATATGTTGCGAACAAACTATCATTGAGATTTTCCACATTCATCTTACTGCAGTTGGCAACATCCTCTGCAAATTTTCGTGAAGCAACACTTATTTCCTCATAAAATATGATACTGTAATTTATAAAGCACGCTGGGCTTTTGGCAAAGCTATAGAAAAGTTGGCCTATTACAACAGTAGCAAGCGCCTTAGTGTTTCACCAAAGTAACGCCCAAAACTTTATGGGAACCGAACTTGCGCAGTCATCGACGCTTGAGGAAAGGCTTATCACTGCACATTTCGCAGCACCATTTCGCCCTTTTGTGAAAGGCAGGGCATAACTCCAGCGAAAATCTCTATCGTTCGGTAAACGGACGCCGCCGCTGATAGAGTTGGTATCCTGCAAGCGATCTGGATCAACATACGTTTTAAAAAAGCTGATTGTTTCACTACATCGCAGAAATCAATGCTTGCGATACCGAACACGAAAAAAGCCCGTCTGGCCTTGAAATGTTATTATTTATAATAAAACCTGGTGCCTTTAGGGCCGCAATTATGATAATAATAATAGACACACTGTATTGCCGAACTCCAGACATGCGTTCCTAAACGTGCACCTCCATCGAGGTACACGGGCCTCTGCAATGTTTGTCCCAACAGAAATGCAGCCGCTGGGGCGGGGATTCGATTCCATAAGTTAACGGGCCGCAGTAAAAAAAACTAATAAACATTGTTGCAAGCTGCACGGTAACATGTTTTGTTGATGATCTGGTGACATTTTTTTTATTTGGTGCCGTAGATACAGTGGACTTGGATTTTCGCGGTTTATGCCTTCATAGCAGTGATGTTTTCTCGCTGTATGGTCAGAAAAAATGGGGAAATAAGTGATACAGCACAAGCGCAATATTCTTTCTTAACAAACTGCTTTCTCTAGCACAAGAATGTTTCTCTAGTACAAGAATGTTTTCGCGGAATACCAGTGGTCTGTAATTGCAGCTCCTTATCTCAGACAAAAAGTGTCTTGGACAGGAGAGGAAAAGGCAGATGTGATTTGCCCGACGGGACCCTAATTCTGGAATGCACACGCAAAGCTTCGATGAACAGAAGCAACGTTATAGTACGCTGTTTATACATACAAACCCATTTGAACACAAGGTGAACAAGATGCATAGTTTTACAATAAGAAAGAATAAGAACTGCATAAGAACTTTTTAATCTCGTGGACAGGGGAAAAGGTAAGTTCCAGCATTTTTAAAGAGTATGGCGACTATGAGAGAGAAGGAATATAAGAAAGGTAAGGGGGTTAACTAGACTAATTCAAGTTTGCTACTTTACCCGGTGGGAGAGGTGAATGAGGGAGTAAAATTGAGAGATAGGAGGAGATGAACTTGGCACGCCACACAAACACTGCACACACAGTGCAGGGCAGTGATGTTGCCTTCAATATTTGTAGAACGGCTCGTGTGGCATTCTGGGATGACGCACTGGAAGGGCAAGCACCCAAGATCTTCTCCAAAATAAACGGTCGAACATCCAATCTTCTTAAGGCACACTGGAGAGTCCGGTATTCAAAGTCTCAACAATGGCAGAAGACATGGTTGAGAGTTTCGGCGCAGTTGCAGTTATGAAAGTTGAAGCAGTGAGTCACAATGATGCGATAACAGAAGGAATTGGTAAACGCTAGCCGACCCACAATCGACCAAGCATGTAGCCTCACGTCGCGAAGTCTTTGATGGCAGCTGTAATTGGAGCATCAAACCAAGGCTCTATGGGCGTCCAGTGGACTTCAGTGGAAGATTCCAATGTTTAAGTTTGACATTTTTCACGGTGTTGTGAATTTCTCTTGCAGCGTCAACTCTTGTCGGGGTTTGAGCATTGTGGGCGCTCCGTCGTGGGCACATCGAGAAGCGTTGTCGGCGAGATGTTTACCGCTGATTTCACACTGACCTGGCAGCCATAGAAAGGCTATGTCATATCTTTTATTATGAGCGCGATGAATGATTTCATTGATTTGAGACACAAACTGATGGTAGTTCCCACGTCATATGCTTCGCACACATTAAAAAGCCGCCTTTGTGTCGCAGAATATAGCCACTTACCGGGGCATTCTTGCAAAACAAATTTCATTGCGTCTAGAAGGTTGGTGAGCTCGGAGCCCGTAGATGTCGTTGCATGTGTAGTCTTCAGGTTGACGGTGATTGACTCAGATGGAAACCCAAAGGCACCCATCAAAATTCCCAAAGGCTGAACTGGTCGTGGAAAAATTAGTTTAATTAGCATGCGATAGATGAAAAAGATTCAGAGAGATCTGTTTGAGGACTGCAGAAAACAGCCCTGCCTCTTTGTACATCCCCAGTACTTCAGTGAGCACAAGCGGTCTTTGCAGACACCACTTCAGAGCATAGCGGTATGGTTGCGGGTGAGAACCTCCAGGAGAGGGAATGCTGGTCACCCGCAACAACTCTGGAGAACTCTGATTCGATGTTTCTAGGGAATGGATAGTGAGGTGGCGGCTAGGCAGTCTAGATATAAGGCTAATATGCGCCCCGAGTTTGTTGACAGTAACGTATGTCATAATCGGGTGGCCTTTGGCAATGACAATTGTTGCGAACGTGTTAGCACAACTAGGTAATTCAAAGCATGTGCTGAAAACTTGGCCTTGAATGCTTTTCAGTACTCGAATTTTGTTTTTCCCAGCATTCAAAAGCACGGTTGGGCTACACCACGAATACCCTAACAGCAGCGTAACAGGGACACTTTTATTCGCGATTAGGGTGATCCGGATGAAATTTTTTTATCGTGATCAACTTTATGACCGCTGCTACACAGCCAAAGCCAATCCGGTGCGAGCTTGTGTCAGATTAAATGCAGCAGGTGGCGCTTGCGTTCGGTAAAGCTTGTCACTGACCAAACTCGGCGTACGATATTTCTAGAGCCTTTTATCAGCAATGTTATTCGTGCAAGAACCGCTGGAACGTCAAAAACATTGCGTGCCACTACAAAAGTAATTTCATAAATCAATCATTGATAGACTTTTTGTTGCACTTACTTGTAGTGTTGTGTGCGATCCTTCACCTTCGCTTTCAGTGCTGATGGCGCCTACTCGCAGCCCTCCATTCGCCGCGAAACTTCAATCTATCGTTACGCGCCAGCTTTTCGTTTCCGGCGCCTCAAGTCTTCCAGTCACTCCTGACCATGGTCAATTAGGTTAAAGATCTCTTCACTCGACCACGAAGGGCACGTACGTTGCCACAAAGTCGAAAAGCTGGCGACACTCATAATAAGTTTGCTTCAAGGTGCTCCAATAGCTCCGACGGTGCGCGAGAGTGGAACTAAGCGCAGAAGGCAATGGTCGTCTGCTTGTAGCCTGCTTGATTCTCCCATACCTACATGCAGTCAATACGAATCTTAACATATGCAATATTTCAGATATTTTTCCAATATAAACAGCTTATAATTTGCTTTTTTATAAACAATAAGCTGTTTCAAAGCCTTTTTATTGAACAATGCTCGATTTTCTTGCTTATTGTGAGTTAAGTTCCTTCTCCTCGACTATCTTCTACACTATAGCTAAGGAGGTAAGGTGTTTGAGGTTCGTAATAGGCTTTCTCGATGACTCGAGTGGTCGGTGGCAGCGCGAAGAAAATTAACTGGCGCTGTCGATGTGAATTGGAGAGCCCGCAGCAAGGAAGGCGCTCATGTCCGGAGGAGCTGACAAGACGCCCACCGCTTTAGGGACCTGCTATGCGCTGCCAGAAATAGTGTCAAGACGCTCGCTGCTTTAGAACCTGATGGCACGCTGCGACAAGTAGTATTAGAATTCAGCACGAGCCTGCTGGTCAAGGTTGGAGCCAGGAGCTGGGTAGCGCAAGAGCACTGCGCATCGGTAAACGAGAGCCGAGCAGCAGAGACAGTCGCGGCAGCTGACTTCAGACAACGACAGGGGGGTCTGAGGTCAAAAAACACTACGTAGTAAACCACCGAGAAAAGAAAAATCCTTGTACATGTAGCTCGAGGGTGAAAGGTGAGGACCAGTAAAGAAAAGATGCTCGTAAACAGGATTTTAAAGAGCTAGGAAGTGACTTTAGAAAGTTGCGTGTAACACGGGCTGAAAGAGGAAGAGAGGTAGTAAGGAAGATGCTTAGTTGTTCCCGTACTGTTCGAATGTGCCACATTTTGTGGATGGTACTGCGATGAGAGTCAGTAGAAGCTCCAGAGAGATTTTCCACATCGTTTTTATTCTCATAATTTTTATTCCAAAGATTTTTTATTTCTTCAAACCATTATTCTTATGTTTTGCTCCCCGGCTAATAATTCAAAGTTTGTTTCCAAGGGCGTGATGTTGGGCATACAGGTGTGCCACATTGAGAAAAACAAAGTACAGATGCATCTCCTATGAAAGGTACTTTCTTTCGTATTCATGTACATGCTGTTCCAGCCTTATTTTTTTCGGAAAAAACTAGTGTTGGAAGTTCTGTTATGCAGATTTCACAAATGGCTGGGTATATAACTTGCCTGGGCTTTGGGAACCAACGCGAACACGAGTGAAACAAACAGGACGAGCGCTGGTTCTTTTTGTGGTGTGTTTGCGTCGTGTTCACGTGGTTTGTCTAGTGTGCATCGTTTCAAACTCACTCACCTCTCTAGTTTACCACAACTTGCCGAGAATGCTTGTCTTAAAAACAATTCTTTTTGCGTTTTTCCGGTTGCCGATGGTTATTAGGAGATTGGGGACGTAGCGTGTAGTTGTGGGAAAACATCTGGCTGAAAATATAAACGGTGTCGTATGTAAAGCTCTGCGCCTACGTTGGTTAAAATTGAAAAGTGGGTCAATTGGTGCAGATTCATTGTGGATAAGAGCGCGAAACCCCATATATGGACAATAACTAGACTCGGAAACATGGCACATCACACTCCATCAATCATTCCACGTTTTCTATCCACCCAAGTCGAAACAAGTAGGGCACATAGAATATTTCAAAAACCACACCAAGAAAATACCACAGAGGTGCGTACTCCAGGGTCACCAAACCAGCAATGTTGAAGCGGAAGTGTTCGTAGGTCCAGTAGCACGCACCGAGTGGCTTAAGTATACAGCCAGAGGTGAACTCGCACAAATACATGCAGCACATGTGAGCGAATGCAACGGCGGCCAGAGGATATCCGCGAGGCTTTAGCACATCGCGGATCTTCTCCATAATGACGGCGGCCACCGAATAGATAATCAGGGCCCACATGCTGCTCCAGCCACGCAGTGTGATGTTTCCTGACGCAAACAGGTCAACAGCAGCTGCAAAGTTGACTTCGATGAAGTAAGCCTGAAGAGCGTAAAAAAACATCCGCCATGGTAGAGACAACGGCTGCCATTTCCTCGCCTGGCAAACACTTCCGACACTCGTCGCGGGCATGCCCAATCAGCAGAAACCTGCGTAACAGAAAAACATCGATAAGGAGAGGGTGCGCCATCGCCACACTGATAACCATTAAAATTTTGAAATAATGCATCATCTATATTATTACTTTAAAACTAACACTGAAACTATAGTGCGCAATCTACCTTAATTTAAGTGATTTTTTATCATTTATATGATAAGTAATCATAAGTATGGGTGTTTTACGTTGTAAAATCACAATATGGTTCAAATAATATTATATGCGGTTAAACGTTCCACGACCACGATATGACTACGAAAGACGCCATAGGGAAGGGCTCCGGAAGTTGTGACAATCTGCGTTCTTTAACGGGAACTGACATCGCACAGTGAGCGAACGTCTACCATTTCGCCTCTGTGAAAAGGTGACTGCCACGGCCGGGATCGAACACGCGGTCGCGAGCGAACGCGCAACGCCGGAGCGCGCCAGCCACGCGCTCGCGTGTTCTCTTTCATAAAAACTGACAGTGCACATAAAATTTCATTGTTATTTCATAACGTGTCGCTTAATATAAAAATAAAACGCGGTCACCTTCCCTCCACATGCTTTGCATAACTTCGATTCCCAACATACATGAGATCTTCCGTATTTTTGTTATTTCCTACTATGCAACTCATTATTAAAACACAAAAAAACAAGGGTTTCCTCTTAGGTAACTGAAGCCTCAATAAGGAAACCCACAATAAATTTGAAGAGAGTACAAAAATGCTCCAGAAAATCAGTATGCATGTTCTCTACTAGTTGTAAAAAAGAAGTTCTCAAAAAAAACAGTAGCCATGCTATACAGTGTTCACCAGACAAGTCTTCGCGACGGCTATCACTCAAGAGCAGATTGCAAAATGTTACAGCAACTTTACCTTCTCTATTACATTTCATGCCTTTAGAGAGGCTCCTGATTGGTTTTCATGCAAAAGAAAACAAAGGATATTCACATCACAATATGAAACACTACTACTCAAGCCGTCATGTTCTCATCATGACCTGTATACCTCAAAAGATGCAGTGGCAACCGCTCCAACTTTTCAAGCACAATTTAAAAGTGGTCATTACAGAATACGGAGGTTTTGTAAAATTCCTCTAGGTAGCTTTCTCAACTGCTGTGGAAAGAAGACTACGTAAAGGATGGCGTAAGCAGCCTTCTTGAAAACACGTCATCTGAGTGAGTGTGCTTTTGTGTGCGCTTTGGGTGCAGCTGCCACAGGGGTATACTTGTGAGAGAGGCTGTACTCTTTTCTGCGAACGTACCCTCGAATATAATACAGTCACATTGTGTTACTGGTAAACTAGGCTGCACCTGAAAGAATGGACACCGACATGTGCAAAAAACCGTTAACTGTTGTAAGGTTGAAAAGTGGAAACGCTGCGATTTGAAAAAGTATCTACTGTTGGAATATGAAGCAAATGTACCAAAACATGGTCCCGACTAAAAGATGAGCGCGTATATACGATTCTGTTGGTTCATAAGGAAAGTATCCACTTCTTTCAAACAACATTCGCTGCTTTCATGAAACCTGCCGAGAATAAATGATAAAGAGCTTCAATACGACTAGTAACATAACCGAGACTCTCTGCGTAGCGATCAGGCGTTCTACCACAAAGGCATGCCAATGGTTGAGTAGCATGGATAATTGGGCTAGTTGGTATTGGCTCATGTTTTTTTTTTACTGAATAAGGACGCACACTCAGGCGTGGACACCAGAACAGGAAATCCCACACACCAAGAGCGCCTACTCGCAACTAAAATTTGCTCAAAGAAAGGTAAGTACATATATATCATTTCTGTCACATGACCTGGCAGGTGAAACAGCAAAAAGCAAAAATGGGGCTCTAAAACACGTGGCTCAGATCAGATCCTCCGAGTGCTGATGAGGTATGAAATTCTATTTCTGTACACGTCATGGAGGATGCGCTTACGCATTTATTCCCACTTCTCCTAATGTGCAACGCCTCTATCAGCTCTCTGGCGGTCCGATTTGGGTGTTTTGATAAAACAATAGCATCACAAAAAAGAGGTCGCAACCACACGAGCGGCAATATTTAGGCAAGTGTGAACTATCTTTTGTGTTCCACTATCTCCCATGTTCTTACAACCTTGTGCTGGCACATCTTTCCGTTTCTCTGTGTAGATGTGACCATCACAAGACGAAGAGGATGCAACGTCAATCATAGGCAGTCGTATGTTAAATGTGAAATAGGGGTTTATATTTGGTACCATTTTTATGTGGTCACAGAGGCATCAATTCAAAGGATTATATATCAGGAGTGGTTTTTCGTGCAGTTTCAGTGCGTAATGTGGAGTGACTCTTATCTCAGGTATGCCTATCCATGCCAATGTTGCCGATTTTTGTGCTAGTAAAGCAACTTGAAATATATTGCATCTGACAAATAAAAGATTATACTTAACTTGAATGCCCATGGTATAGAGCCCATTTTTTGCTCATTTATACGTCCTCCTTCATCTTTGTTATCTTCGTCAGTAATTCAGAAGTGTACTAACTTATCAAGGCGCAATCGCATGACACTCAAGAACGTGTAAGCGCTCTCACGGCGGAAGTGTGTATAAGGTCAAAGGAAGATGGCGAGTCTGATGAGGATTCGCTGCTGTACCCTTTGTAATACGGAGGTGTGCTGTCGTGGCTGTATCGAAACATTTTACTGCAAAAGCGTCTAAAGGCTCCAGTGACACCTCATGTGAAGGAATTTTACACTGAAAGCTGTTATGAGATCAAAACATGGGTCCCTGTGGCGCCGTAGTTGTCCGCCGCCGCCGCAGCCGGTGTCCGTAACCAGTATCGCAAGAAATAGGAAAAAACTCAGTAGTTAGGAAACACTAAGGATAGAATGGGAATCGAACTTGGGTCCGCTGCGTGCCAGCCCAGTCATCTGCCATTGAACCTTACGTTGCTTGGAACTCGTTTTTAAACTGGCCTTAGGCAGGCCTGCAGTCGGGAAAAGAATAACGTTAATATGAGTTATGAAACGTTTTAGAACAACAACGGGACAACCAGCCATCACACAATGCGAATAGCGTAACGAGTGGGTCGTGCAATGCATAAATTCATCTGAAAACGTGTTCTTGGTAACGAACAACTGTGGCGCATACCAACTTCATGCATAACTTTAACGTGTTGGAAGTGCGGTTCAGGGGAAGCTAAAAAGAAAAAGAGCAATTTATCTGAAGATCTTAGTGGTGTATATCGATTTACTGTTTCCGATCTCAAACTGTGCAGTATAACGCTAGCAAGTGACTACGTTACTACAAAAAGTTAGGTTAAGCATGTAGGCTACGTCATCTCCCCCTCCTATGTTTTGCCTCAGTGTGACGTGCAATGTAATATTACTGCCACATCACTACTGTGTAATGCCATATCAACTGTGTGTGTAACCTATCTTGCTGTTCATAATCAGACTTTACTGCCACAGGTAACCATTGTGCGTGCTTATATATGTTGCATGTGAGTGACCATGTTTTTATTTGTCATTAGTAATATCGATAACCTCCGCGAAGATTTCTCATTTAGGCGTGCTTATGAAGACACCTACCTCATTGTATTTCTGACTTTGACAAAGTCTGGTCCACCACTCGAAACGTTAGTGAAAATATACAATGCCCAACCAACGAAAGTTTTTATTTCCAATTTCTTATTCTATAGGGGTACACGCAATTTTTTTCCACTACAATTTCCCGCCATGGCCCCCGCTATGACTGCGGTGTGTCACATGAGCTTGAAGTATCCCACGACAAAACATTCAACAGTCGTCATCGGCGACTCCCTGGCGAGGCACCTGCATCAGTACTTTTATCCCAGTGTGCAAGCAACTCCGGCCTTCGTTTCCCGACTACGCGCTATCACTGAAGACGTCCGGTCACTGCTAAATTTTGTACAAGAAACGGCAAAATACCTCACGCTTCTTGTCGGTACTAATGCGATATCATCAAGCAGTGGTTCGGCAACTTACTGATTGATTGATATGTGGGGTTTAACGTCCCAAAACCACCATATCATTATGAGAGACGCCGTAGTGGAGGGCTCCGGAAAATTCGACCACCTGGGGTTCTTTAACGTGCACCAACATCTGAGCACACCGGCCTACAGCATTTTCACATCCATCGGAAATGCATCCATCGGAAATTACATCCCGCGATCTGCGGGTCTGCAGCCGAGTACCTTAGCCATTAGACCATCGCGGCGGAGCAGCAGCAACTTTTGACAGATATCGCTCTCTGCTTGAACTAATTATGAATTGCAGCTACTCAAGAAAAGTCTTCTTCATGGAACACGAATTTCAGTACCTGCCCCCGCACCTTGTATAGCCGCCGATGGCCTCCACCCAAGTTTGAAGGCGTCACGCTCATGGCCAGCCATATTCGAGAACTTTTCTTTAAACATACTAACAGTGATGTAGCATTGTGGCGTGAGTTCACATCATGTGAGCCCGAGAGCAGTGCCACTCAGACTTCTAAAACATGGTCCACTCGGCCTTCCTGAGACGCCAGCCACTGGCGTCCATTCACAAACCACCATGACCTTCCCAATGCCACCCATATGTTTAGAATGTGCGCAGCAAACGTCAATAACTGACTTCCGGTCTCGAGCTACCACGACCTTCGTAATGCCAACCGCATATCTCCAAGTAAGAACGTTTCTCTAACTTCTCTGGGCATCAGCTGCGACTCTCCAACGAGTCGCCACCTTCCCGAGGGAGGCCCACAAGCCACTCCGTCTTTGGGCTGCCGCTACCCTTCACGTAAGAACACCACTCGTGGCAAAGCTGTCAATTGACTACTGACTCTAGGTGACTCTGTACAATGCCTCCCTTCTAGGACATTCTACAAAACCAGAGTGATTGCTGAAAAAAAATGGCAGCATATCCACAAAGTGAATGATGGAGAGTGGGGTGAAGCACCCGTCGATCCATTCGTTCTTGCTTCCGTCCGTCCATGCGTCCATCTGTATGACCATCCGTGCGTCCATTCGCCCGTCCGTGTGT